TTCAAATTCTAAGTTTATGGGGAAAAAATGTGTGCCTAATATCATACAGAAAATGTGTACCTAATATCATACTGAAAAAGAAAAAAAAACCCACTAATCTCACCCCCTCAAACAGTTATTGCATGGATTTATAAACTCAATACTTATATTGCTTAGTATTGTGCAGCTTGATTATTACTGAAGTATATTTGGGTAATGAGTGTCAAAGGAAGGAGACTAAGATATGGTGTATTTAAATTCATTATTGTAGCGGAATTAATTTGAGATAGGAATCCAGAAACTGGGACAGTAGGTATATTGCAAGCCCTTAATTTATAAGTGGTGCTAAGAGGTAAGAAAAAATAAAAGGTAATTTGCATTTAGAATAAGATGCTTTTTCTGTGAATACTCTAATAACAGTTTCCACTTTTTACTTTGACAGAAAAAGTAATGGATTATGGAATTTTTGAGTACTGACCCAAGTTTCACCCTGAATATTTTAGGTCTACCATTTGTGCATATCATGGAACACACAATAAACTAAAAATAACAGCTGGAAGGTGACACATTCTTAAGGAAGAAGTGATTAGGAAAAGGGCTGGGGAGCAAGTTTAACCAGCTAGCTCAAGCTTTGTTCAACCGTTAATTTAATTACTTTGTGTTATATCCTGTGTCACAAGCCTACCACACACTCAGAAATGCCAAACCTGTTGCGGTGCACACTGACAGCTGTTCAGTTCTATACAAAGCTGCCACTAGTGCTGTGAAAGATGCTCTTTTAATTTTAAGCTCTGTAAGTGACCATATAAAGTCACGTTTGGTCAGTCTGATCCCTGATGAGAATTCCACAGCTACCCAAAGTGGAAACGTCATGGGATTGTTTGAATGTCCTTTGTAGTCATCTAGAACAATACAAACACCTCTGCCTAAATTAACATAATTTTGATTTTAGTTTTATTAACTTGCAGTTATGCACAAATGGATTGAAACCAAAAAAGAAAACGGTTCCCTCCACCGGTAATGACAGTAGGAGGCTTATTTTTGGTTTTTTAAAATGAAAGTTTTACAAGTTCTGTCTCATAAATATTTCATTTCGTCACTCTATTGACATGCTGAATGTGTCCCAAGTGGAAGAAGTCAGTGGCAGCTCTAAGCTTCCCAGGGGAGTACCAGCAAGCTGGAGCCTTCTCCCATGGGATGTCTACCACAGTAGCAATTCTGTGCCCATCACATACTGATATTCTTAATGGAACTGAGTTGTTGGAAAACTTCTCTTCATATCATTTCTTCTCAAAAGATACTGTCAGAAAAATCTACAAAAAATGAGGTTGTATTAATTATGGTAGGTAATTCTGTGGGAATGGGACTTAAGACTGAATTTCTGAGTTCTGCTCCTACCTGAGGGGTCAGACAAATCCTGCCTCTGTGTGTCAGGTCAGTTCATCCAACCCACACAAACCTCTGCCATTCTACGAAACTTCAAACAACTAAAAGTGCATGAGGTATGTTTAAGGTCTTTTCCTACTCACATAAGTTGAGCAATCTTTCCAAATACAGATTCTAAGGGGAAAATTTTCCCCAAAGATTTGTGGTTTTCTATTTTCGACCTGGATCCAAAATTCTCACGATAAACGCCTACAGGGCAAACATTTCAATTAAATTTATATTGCTATCTTCAGTGAAGCCATCTGTAGGAAGAGTGCAAATAAAATGAAATTTAGCACCCTCATTCCTGAAATTTAGAGCATGTGTGGTATTTTACACATTTAATGTGCGTGCCCCAAATGTCACCATAAAGGTAAACATGCCAGTTTTTAAATATCAGGCTCAGCATGTAGTTGCAATGTGTGACAATAAAATCTGGCTTTATAAAGGGAAAAAGGCATGCAAAGGTGAAACACAACTGTGATTTTCCTCTTCACACAGATAAGTGTTCCTCCCAAAATCTGTGTTACATAAGTTTTATAATAACCCTCCTATTCACACTGCAAATTATTTATACAGACAGAAAACTATTTTATAACTATGTGTATGCTATTTCAAACAGATTAAAATTTCAGATTTAAAAGGATTACTTTTCAGCCTCTAGATTCCAGACTCCCTTTTAGTAGTTTTCAAGTGTTTATTGCATTATTTTACTTAACTTGGTGGTTGCAGCAAAGACACTGCAAACAAGAGTACTAAATCATGTTACTTGATGGCCTGAAACTCAAGCTTCTTTCATGGCATGGATTTACAAAGTAACTGACATGAAAAAGAAAATACATTTAGAGCTGAAGCAATTTTACATCAGGAAGATGGAAACAAGAATTAATAGATTTGAATAAATGGTATTTTGTTAGAATAAGAAAAATAAAGTAAGTTTAAAACTTAGTGGTGCCTAAGTGACTGACTGTGACATAAGACAATAATGATTAATCTTTTTTATGCATTATGCAAAAGCACAAAGATAAGTGGTCAAATAAATGCAAAGCAGGCAAGAAGATACATATGCTGATATATATTTATACCATGAACCGTTTCTACAGTAAAACAGAAAACTTTTCAACACCTTATATGGAATAGTCCCTCTACAAATGATAAATATCAACATAGTCTGAAATTCACTGGATATTTATGAACTAAATTATAAATTAACTGCAATAAAGACAACAGAAACTACACCCACATCTCTTTCAAATCTCATCACTTAATATAAGAAAGCAGCCTCCTCCTCAATCTAAGAAGGTAACACAATATTTATGATTATGACTTAGCAATATTAAAAGTGTATGTGTATTTTGCATGTTGGAAAGTGTCTAATAATTACGTTATTCTCTCCTGATAATGAACTAACATTAAGTTACATACAGAGGCAACAACAAAAGAACTCTCATGTCATCATTCTGGAGTCAAGTGTAGCCTTACTAAGGAGAGCATTATCACAAGCATATTTAGTATAAGGCTCATTTTAAAAAATATTAGAATGTTATGAAAGATGTTGAGAGATTTCATTGTGACTTCTCAAAACAGATTTACTGGTGCAGTCTCATTAGATGTTTTCCAACCATAAATTTCCCTTCAACACTACAAGGATTGTTACTGATTTAAAGAGATAAGGGGAAAGCAAATGGTTCTTCAAATTACACCTGCTTAAACTTGGTACTGCAATTCCAATGTCACCTTGGAGAAAACCAGTAAGGACTGATATCTACAACCCAGTGCTTCATTAGACAAGTGACAAAATGGAAGTGTATACTAAGATTTGAACTGGCAGGTGCATAGACCATAAACAAGTGTAGAAAATGTGCCTTGCATTGCATTGGCAATGTATTAAATTATGTATGAGCAACCATTATTACCATTGTACATTTGCTGTATGTAATGAAACCTCCAAAACTTCCTTCACAAAAGGTAACAAGAAAGTGACTGTGTATAGTGTTCTATATATACCATTATACATAAAACCACCCCAACCCTTGGCAGTGAAAATTTACAGTATTAAATTATGCAATAAAACAGCCATTTAAAATTAGTAAATCCTACATTTTGTTTATTATACTTCACAGATTTATCAATTATAAGGCATGATGTGATTAAGATCACAAATCTCAGCCCTCCAAATCTGTTTTGTTTGGACTGAATATTTTACTACACTTTCTTCCTAACACAGCAAATTAACTGAAAAAAAAAAGAAATGAATAATACATCTTCCCCCTTATGGAAGTATTTCCAATAGCTGATGGCTGCTGTTGTAATGTGATAAAAAGCTACCACTATCTATCTACTACTCTCCAAATTTGAAGAGGAATCTGTGTTTATTTTCAGAGTACAGCCATGTGTATCACACATGGCAATGACTTCCATTCTCTCTTCTAATTGACAGTTTAAAAAGTACTTTCAACTCAGACACAAAGATTAACTAAACCCCACCATATCATTCTGTGTGAAGCACTACTGTAAAACAACCACAAAATGATTATTCAAGGTCAGTGATTGAATCACTGGTCAAGATACAAATTGAGCACTGCATTTCCAGCTCTACTTTTGAATGGATTAATTCAAACATATGAAGATTTCCAATTAAATACTTCCACTGCTTCATGCATAAACATCCATGGCAACTGCTGAAGTGCCTTTATGAATCACATTCTAACTTTTTGTATTTTTTTTGAATACAAAACAAAAAATAACTCACAAAACCCCACAGATGTAGGCACAACCCCAGGCACTAGAAAAGGTAAATGCTTAGTTGCAGTGTGAATCCAGCTCATATTCCATTTCTATTTAGAATGTGATGAATCTTCTAATAATAATAATAATAACAGTTTGGACTGAAATTTAATAGGAAACAACTTTATATGCTGCTCTCTTTCATGCACACACTCCTGCATTTCTAAATCTTTAAGTATGCAAAGACCAGAAATTTGATTAGATTCAAAAATTAAACCCCAAACCAGCACAGCTAATAATCCAATTTTATCTAAACAAGAGAACTCATCCAGGGATTCTCTTGTCAAACTCATAATTCGGCTTTAACCACAGATCAAATTTCATCAACAGAAAGCCATCCCCCTTCTTGTTAAGACATTCAAAGGTATAATTAACCTCACTGGGAAAAATGTGGGTTTGTTCCAGCCCAAATCTATTCAAATTCAGATTCTAACCTTGAGTTCTCATTTGTCTTTGTCTAGCAAACAATAAAAGCACATAGAAGATATTTGCAGTGAGGAGACAGAGGTACACATATATCATTTAACTACCTGTTTCTGCTGGATAATTCAGGAATTATTCTAATGCAAGAAAAGTATCAATAGAAAGCTGAGTTATTTATGGTTTACAGTATACTTCTGCATCACTTGAGACCAATGAAGTCACAAAGTGTAAAACATTAAATATATTTTATGATTTTTCAATTAAATATTATAGATTGAAAAAGATTTTAGTGTCCTAAGGATCAATACTAATAAGTTATTTTTAAAGTATTTTATACATTTATGCTGTTGTATTTCATATAGTAAAATTTTTCATATATCACTCACTTTTTTGTCTTCATTATATTTGTGGAAAATTTCTTGTGCTCTTTCTTCACCACCATCTGTGAACAGCATAATAATCTTATTGCAGTTAGCTCTGGAGACACTGTGCTGTAGGAGATACAAACAGAAGAGTTTTTATATTTCAGGCTATAGGGAATAACAACTATTATATCTGATGGCTTTTATAGCTACACACTTACTACTTTAACATGGTAATGTCAAAACATAAATATTTTAGAATTTCATTCAATAACCCCCTCTAAACGAAAAATAAAATAAAATAAACCAAAGCCACTTTTCTGTTCCATGATACTTAAATATGAGTCACTTCAGATCCAGCACAAGAAAGTGGAATAGGGATTTGGTAGTTCATTTCACCTCCACAAACACAAGGAGAGCTCTTTAGCTCATACTCATCACATCAACCCCACAGTGCTCCTGGACAGATGTTCTGCATGAAACTTGCACAGTGAGAATCTCAAAATATTTTTACTCTTCTCTTTTCTCATCCTTACTTTTTTTATGGACATGTAATGAATTACTAAATATGCTTATTTTTTTATGTTGGACTCAAAAGTTTTATGTAGCCACAAAAACTGTCCAGCTTGCTGACTGCTTGAATCAAATTTCTGTTAAGCATCCTAAAGGATATTCACCTTATAAGTTTTGAAATGTTTTTGTAATATTTCCTTAAATTGAGCTTCATCTTTCAAGTCTTTAATTTTTTTGTTGTTCTTAAAATTATTAATACTGTCAAATGAATAGCTAATCTTTAGAAAAGTATTTTAGAATAAGGTTTAGATAATATGTTGTAGCCAAAATATGGCCACCTAGATTATTAAAATCTCTCCATCACCTACTTTTCCAACTATGTTGCACCTTAGAGCTGAAAAATAGAGCATGTTCCATTATTTCTGGACAGCAAGCCTGAAATAGAATTAAGAAGAAGCCCCTCTGACTCCTAATTCATCAAAGTAACTAGCAAAGCCCCTGAGAAAAAGGCAGTTATTTCTTTTACAAAGAAATAACAACGTTGTTCCACAGCCAGATCAATAGGGGTGAGCATGAATTTTGGCTCCTTTTTATTCACTTAAAGTTAGACTCTAAGCAAATTGCTTATTACTTCTGCAGCCGTTCCTTGCTCTTTGTGCTGCATACAAATGGTACCTTGGTACTTGTGAGTAGCTGGATGTGACCGAGTAAATCCCTTAGAGGTCCAGGGAAAGAAACTCAAGTTCTCCTTCCATGAGCCTCAATTTTGCTCTATGAATTTACTCCAGAGTCAGGAAGATAAATAGGACAGTTTCCTTACAAAGTCCCCAGTTCCCTCCTGCTTTATTCCTTTGGCTAGTGACTGTCAGTAGACCGGTCAGGTGTCATGATCCCACTCCCCTTTGCCACTTTTCATTCTACTCATTGGTCTAATTCCTGTTCAATATTCAGTGAATAATTACTTTTTTTCTTAATATTACTACTTCAAAATCTAATAATTTGTGAAAAAAAAATCCCAAAGAATTTAGCTCAGATCCCTTACATGTAGCAACATATAAAACCTGGCTTAAATCAATACTTTCTCTCCAGCCTCATCAGCACACTGTGTTTCAGTTGGGATTAAATAATTTATGACCATTTTTCGCTTGTGAAATATAACTTGCAAGATACTGCTTTGGGCTGCAATTCTCTTGATATTAAAAAAGTAATAAAAGTAGGTTTGGATACCTCATAAATAAAGAAATTCACCTACATCTACAGTGATTTAATATATAGACCAAAATAAGATCAGAGAGACAAAGAAGGGGACCAAAATTTGCTCATATCATGGAACTTTCCTAGTGATTTGAAAGAAGCACTATTATGGGCAATAGAAACTTGAGCCAGGCTTTGCTTTCACTGACTAAAGCAGGACTTTTCTGTGACTTACTCAGCATATGCTTACACAGTATCAGAAAAAAGCAGTTTTCTCTCATCTCCTCATACTTAGAGAAGGGCATTACTTACACTACATGGTGTGCCAAGACACTAAATTCATAGAAAAAAATATCCAAGATTTTAGCCCCCAAACATTATTGGAAACCTGAACATGAATAAATTCAAATCATATTGTATTACCCCATCCCTTGAACTGTTTAAGGCCAGGCTGAATAGAGCTCAGAGCAGCCTGGTCTAGTGAAAGATGACCCTGTCCATGGCAGGGATGTTGGAACGAGATGATCTCTAAGGAACTTAAAATACATCTTCCTCCTCCCCAGCCTCTTTTGGTCTAAAATGGAGAGATACTGGTTCAGGGAGTGAATCCATTACAGATTGTGAAAATCTGATGCTATAATTTCATCATTTTTCTGAACAGTCTGCCTTAGCAGTCCAATGGGCCAAAGCTGAATGGGAATGTGTTGCCTATACAGGAGCTTCCCCAGGACAAGAAACAACTTCTTAGCTTAAACAACAAAAGAATACAAGAGGAATTGTGGTATGTAATAATTTTTAGCTCTCTCTTTTATTTGATAGAGGTTGAGGCATTCACATTCTCCAGAAAAATTCCTTTGCTCAGGATTTTTCTCCTGGGAAGCTGAGAGGCCTCAGAGAAAAACTAAAACAATTCTTATCTCATTTGCTTCTCCTGTGTTGTGCTCATGTGTGGAATATGTTTGGAGATTGTTTACCCACAGGTGATTGCCTGGTTGGATTCTGGTGTGAGTTGTTTTGTCTCATTGTCCAATCAGGGTCAGGCTGTGTCGGGACTCTGGAGAGAGTCACGAGTTTTCATTATTATCTTTTTAGCATGCTGTAAGTATCCTTTCTGTATTCTTTAGTTTAGTATAGTATAATACTCTTTAATATAATATAATATCATAAAATAATAAATTAGCCTTCTGAGAGCATGGAGTCATATTCATCATTCCTTCCTGCCATGAGGGTCCTTGCAAATATAATAATAGGTCTTATTTTTCCTTTCAAACAGGCAAGAAAGACATGATCTATTTTATACTGCATCTAAAATTACTTTTGTTTTAAACAAGTTTCACATCTTTAAAATTAACTCTGTAAGTGGCAGGTTACAATTATATTTTGTGACATGACACTTCAGGAATGCATTTCTCACTAAGTTTTCTTTAAGAAACCATAGATAGTACAGTATGAGGGAAAAAATCCACCTGAACTGCTGAAGCTGAAGTATTATGCTTTTCAAAGAAGAAAGTTAGTGTAACAATAAATAATAGGGAAATGCTGTATGAAATTTATGTAATCCAGATTATTGTTAATCACATGAATTATTATGCTAAAAAAACTTGAGTGCTTGAGTGTCTATTTCCATTTAGAAACACATCAAACAGCAATTTTTTTCATGGTATGAAACATTAATTTAGTATACTGGAAAAGTGTTTAAAATAACTGTCATCCAGAAACAGTACCCACAAAATTATTTTGAAAATTTGAGAAATACTTCATTTATTTGGACCTTAAATCAATTGGATTATTTGAATTCATATAACTGGCTGCTATCCCAAAGCATTTTTTTTTTTTTATTTAAGCCTGTATTATACCACCATATTATATCGTCTTATCACCAGAGCCTTGGCCTAAACCCACCACCAGCCCTTTACTCTTCCTGCTAAACAGATTTGGCAATTTGTGCAATCCATAATGTCCAGTCATAACTTCTAGGCTTGCAGAGATCATGGGAGGCTAATCACACTTCTGTCTCCAGCTACAAAAGAGATGGTCCCACTTTAACACCCATCTCCAATTATTTTTTAAGCAATATTTTAGTCCTACAAAAAAGTCCAGTTTGAGATTTCCCCTGTGTTCAGCTTTTGTTAATGTTGCCTGTACACCAAGTATGTACCTGGTGCTGCACCAAATGTAATCCATAACTTTAAGCAAATATCAATGTTATGAGGAACATATTTGCAAACTTTATTTTCTTCCTGGTTCCCTCTGCATAAAATGTCAACATGTGCAGAACAGGGGAAAATGCCACCCAGCCTGGTCCAAAATATCCAACAGACTTCAAAATATTGTTTGTGGTTTTATATAACCATCAGCAGAGGACACCCACTCATTTCTCCCTCCACTCCTCTGCTACTCTGAATAGTGCTGAGAAAATTTCCATAAAAACATTGCATTTTCTTTTTCTCCATCAAAATTTTACAAGGTTATAATTTTTTATAGCAGAACTAGCTAGCCTTTAAACTGCATATACAATGTCAGGGAAGTGTCCTGAATTTCAGAATCTGGCAGATTGGGGAAAAAAATGTAAAAAAAAACAAAAACAAAACAAAAAACAAAAACCCAAACCAAAAAAAAAAAAAAAAAAACCAAAAAACAAAAAACAAAAAAAAAACAAAAAAAACCCAAACAAACAAACACCCAAAACCCACAAACAAACAAACAAAAAAAAAACAACCAAAAAACCCCCCGAAAACCATAAAAAAACCCCCAAACCCACAAACAAACAAAAAACCAACAAAAAAATAAACAAAACAAAAAACACAAACAAACACCCAAAACCCACAAACAAACAAACAAAAAAAAAACAACAAAAAAATAAACAAAACAAAAAAACCCCACCTAAACAAAAACCACAAAAAACCCAAACCAAAACAAAACCAAAACCAGTAAGGATAAGAATACTTAAGCTACAGCTTACCTGCTGTAAAGTGATACAGCTTTATTTAAGCTAAGGTTTAAGATATCATGTGCCTACTTCAGGAAGATGAGAAGTAGAAATATATTTTTAACAACTACATGAACCATTTAAAATTTACTGGTGAACCCCAAATATTTGCTGAAAATGGGAAACACTTCTATTCAAAAAGCTAGTGTCTGGTTAGAAAATGCAATGTATTTAAAATATAGAACCAATGCATTTAATTTTTGATGAAATTATTCTTTTTTACATGAGAAAGAGAAAGGAATTAGAATAGTCTCAGTGAGTGCAGACTATGATTTAGGCATCATCAGTGCCTAGTATTCCTCTATTAACTAACTCATTTCCTCCCCTCTATCTTGCTCAAACCATGGTAAAGTATTTATGACTTCTAGCAAGTGTGAAATTGTATGTTAACTAATCATTGCTAGGAGATGATGTGGTAAAATTGAAATAATAACACAGTAACACAGATCTTTCCATTTTAAAATTAACTGCAAGTCAACCACTACCACAAGTATGTGTCAACTGTGAATTACATGTAAAATGAAAAAACAGCTGAATGAACAAAGCAAAACAGATTGAAAACCAAATTAATTCCAAAGTCTTAGCAACCTGATGGGGAACCTGCAATGAGAAAACATTGTTGGGATAAATTTACTTGCTAAATATAGGTTTGCACTTCTACCACTTAGTTACACGATGAAGGAGCATGCAGTGGCCTGCTGAATATTCCAGTTCTTCTTCACTTGACAGCAGACAGATCATACTTGTAAACACTTACATTTAGCAGCTGTTCAAAAGCATAGCTAAAGCCTTTTTTGTAATCCGTAATTCCTTTAGCAGAGATTTTATAAACAGCTTCTTTCAGTTTCTTCTTGTTCCTCACATTAGCTTGGACAAGATGATTAAAGCAACTGACATTCTGAGCATTATTATTGAACTGCAAAATAAATAGAAATAGTATTAAAGACAGTTAATTTTCTTTTCTGTGTACTGTAGCAGTAAAGATTCATGTTTTCTGGATGTTCATGAGATAAAGAATGTCAAACCTATATTTTAATTTCCACTATGCTGAGATCAACCAGTAGTGACTGGAGAATCCAAAATGAGTCTAAATATTTTAAAAAAACAGGAATGTGATACTTTACTCTGTAGCAACCCAAAAAATCTACTACAGTGGAAAAAATCACACAAATTTTGTTTCAAGTTTACATAAAGAAATAAAACTTAGAAATGCAGAGTTGTGGAAATTAAAAAAAAAATAAAGATATATTTTAACTTTTTTAATCCCCTGAAAAATATTGGTAATCAGGTGACTTCCATATTGCATGAATTAGTTTGGTGTTTTACAATGTAACTTGCAGATCAGACTCAACTGATATGTAAAAATTATGGAAAACAAAATACACTCTTGGAAGCACAGGAGAGTACAGCTGCAAATGTGAGAATACTGATGATAGCAATAGAAATTTGTGTCTTGAGAAAACACATACTTCTACTGTCTTATCACATATCCATAAAGACTACTCCCTGAAAAGTAATTTATATGATATTCTGACATTATGTAAAAACACACACAGAAAAATTTTTAAGTGCAAAATGTTGTCTGCACAAGTGGAAATCAGTTTAAGATTGCTTTTATATTTGTCTCCATATAAATATACATATATTCATGTATACTAAAATACAGACCTCACAATTTACATTTCAACTGAAAGCAGATTATTATGCCTCTTCCTGATTATGGATGTTCAGTGAAAGTAAACATAAATGTAATTTTATGCTGTCAACCTGGTGCAAAGCCTTAAAATAACATAAAAATCAAGTCTTGTTGGCTTAAATCTCACCACTGCTAGCTAGTTCAACAGTGCTCTGTAGGTAAAAAGGTAAATAAGGTCATAGGTTTCAATAAATGCTCAACTACTTACACTTCTAAAATAAAGCACTGAGTACCAGGCACAAAGTACAGAGGGAGAACTGCTTTCAGCAGCAAATACCAACCTGTAAATGTACAACACTTATAACAAACCAAACTTAAAGGATTAATAATATTAAACCATTTTTAATAACGCCTAGTATTTCAATTAATGTTATTAGGGGTTTACACTGTATCTCCTTAATGTATTCCATATTGCTCAAAAAAGAATATTTTTGGGACCAAAAAAACACAGCCTTTTTTGCTGCTTAACCAAAACCATGAAATGATCACACAGCTGTAACCAGTTCACTCTAATGCAAAACTCTGACAGCTTCAACAGTGCTTCCAATAAAAGCTTCTCATAGAAGTAACCATTAAATCACCTAATGATTATTGGAAACATAAACCATGTGGAAACGAAAACAATTATGGAATTATTTCAGTTTGCCTCAACCTAAATTTTTAGCCATGATAGGAAAATTACAGACATAAAGTAATTTTATAAAGACAAGGTCTGGAAACCAATTCAAATTGTGAGTTGTGGTAAAAGTGCAAAAATTGTATCTGGAAAGTAAAAAAAAACAATCAAAAAACCCAAAACTTTATATAGTAGGGAGCTCTGCCCTACAAAAGTCAATTTCATCTGAAAAAATAAAGTGAAAATACTCCTCTGCTTCACCAGTGATATTATACAGAAATTATTTAATGACTTAATATAAAAGAAATCCTAAATTCAATCCTATGGCCTGTGCATGCCTTGTCTTGGCTATAGCAAACAGCAGTTTAGACATTCAAGTGAAAATTTAGTGACAAGAGAAAATTTCTCCCTGGAATGTCAATAACATTAAACTGCCAATCTAAGTCATTTGCTACCAGTTCTGCAAATATATCAGGATAATTATTTGTAAGAAGGTCAGGAGGTATCCAGCACATGGATTGGTAATTATGGCTACAGAAATTATTTTGAAAATATTTTAAGGAATACTGGTTCAAACTGTGCAGGGAGCTGACAAGGAAACTGCTATACTGCACTTACACATTAAACTGCACCACACTGCTCTCACACACTCTGTAAAGTGAACAAAGGGTCAAACCCAAGCATCTGCATCTGTAGATGCACAAATGCTGATGTAAAATGAAGGAGAGAAATGACACATTTGTAGCATGGAGATTACATCAACCAAAGTCTGCAAATGCTCTAATTTAATTAAGCAAATGTATGAGCCAGCTGTTTGCAGAGACATCAGTCAACATTAATGTGAATGCCAGTCAAAAAGGCAGATGAGCAGAGTTTGTGATTCGATGAAGGAATCACTAGATGGAACAGCAATCCTCCAGAATGAACATTTCCCTGTTTGCTAGGACATGAAGGCAAGGTTCAAATCTGACTGATGAAATGCTGATGAAGAGGGAAAGAAAATTCAGGGGTGAATTTAATTAATCAGAACTCCAGTAAAATATTGAAGTAATGGAAGGATTTTAACTGTAAAAGAGAAAATACTTAAAACTGACTTTTCATATGTGGCAAACATCAGGATCATTCAAAACTTAGAGTTAGCCAAACTGAGATAGATTTTAGTTATCTGAAACATAATATCAATAGTGGCACTATGATTTTTTACACATTAAGATTTGTAAAAAATTACACATCTTAATTTACAAGCCAAAATAACTGCTCTAAGCCTTCACTGATTACTGGTCACATTGTCTATAACATAATAATGCTTATTTCAGTTCCCAAGATTTCTTGAAAACACAATCACTTAGTATTTAACTGAAGAATGAACATGTAAGCTTTCAAAAACTAGATGCCATTTCAGCAAGTCCATGTTCTTACAAAATCAAATCCTATCAAAGGTGTAAAATTAAGGTAATTACAATCCAAGCTTTATTGAACAAAGTACTCTCAGTGTATCTATGTGAATTATGTCAGTTGGGTATTTATCAGCCTGGCATTCCCCCTAATTATTGCAGTAAATATAAACACATGCAACAAAAGTGCTATCGGAAAAAAGGAAATAAATAGAATTTTTTTATGATGCCATGGGCTCAGTGATTCACTTACAAAACAATGTATGACATTTAGAGGCAAACCATTCAATTGTTCAAATGTAAAACCACCCTACAGAGTCTGTCACCATCAATGACAGCTTCTATTTTTTTCAAGTATATGAAAAGCTTATTCCTTATCTAAGCTAAAATAAAAGAGGCTTTCAGCAAAACAATTGTAAATCATGGAAAACAGGATAACCTTGAGCTTTTATTTTAAAGCTTCATGAAGTATTAATATAATTAAATCTGTCTTGTAATTATACCTGCAAGGTATAGGATCTAGATGCAGTTTCCACTGGATTATTTCTCACTACCCCATTTATTTATATCCTATTTCATTCTCCACCTCTGGGATGTCCCAGAACAATCCTCTGTTCTGAGGAAATTAAGACCTTCTCGTCACAGGTTTTGGCAGGAATAACTAAGCCTGCTACTGGGGCATAAAAAGTCTCAAGAGAACTCAATCTCATTGACCTCAGACCACCAGTACAATCTCTGGTCATATATGGGGCAACTCAATAACCTGAAAGATAAGAAAACCTATTCAACTTAATATGAAAGTCCAAATGAAGGGCTTTGAGCCTAATGCTGCTTGAACTTTGTCATCCTGGAGGAGGTCTGAGACAGAAATACTAATCTGACTGTTTTACAAGGACTTTATCTTCTGATTCAGAAGAGGATCAACTTGTGAAAACCAAGTGAAAAAAAAGCAGTGAAAAATTATAAAGAACTGCAGCAAAAGATTAAAATGCTTGAGTGCTTTCCCCTCCCTTGGGAAGTTCCACTGAGCTGTGGGCTCCTCCAGCCACATGGACCTCTGCAAACCCAGTGCCCCAAGAGTTGAACTTACAGAAAATATGAGACTGTCATTCTGAACACCTCTTCTAATTCCAGAATAGTTACTTATGCATTGCTAAAAGCCTCCTCTTTTCCACAGTCTCAACCTGGAAATCCTTCTAATAAAATTACTAAAATTGCTACCACAACATGAGGTTATTAGGGAATTCAAGGGAAGTAAAATAGAAATATTGGTTTATTGCCTATATCTGTTCTACTTTGTGGATATGCAGGTCAAAGAATGAATAAAAAGACCCTGCAGACTAGTGTTTTAATTAAGAAGACTGTATAAGGCGTAATAAGGGGAGGATGAAAATAAAACCCTGGAGAAGATGTCTGAAATGAAGAAAGGAAGTATAAGAATTTAGCAAAAACTCTGTGATTCAGTTTGAAAAGGACAAAAATCTTCTGTAAAGCATCTCATTAATGCAAATTGCAAAACCAAACGCCAATAAATCGAAATCTTCAAAAAAAGTTTTCAAGTTTCAGTCACTAGGTGGCACTAAAACAAAAAGATTTAAACTGGTCTTAACAGTACCATGAAATGTGGAATTTTACATTTCTGGTGGAGGACATTGGTGCTTTCTATAACTAGCATTAAATTTTCATTTCAACTAAAACAATAAAAAAATATTCGTGTTCTAAATAGTTGAAAAATCACACATATTAAAATCTAAACTTCCTCCTTAAAGGAAAATTTCCACATCTTGAACACAAGAGGTCCCAACTGTAGGAGGATGAAAATTAAGGAAAAGCTGTAAACCAGCTATTTTCTAAATGTCCTTCTGTGCCTCCAAAATCTGTGGAAGTGATAACATAAAGCAAGTAGGACCAGGTCTTTGTAAAAATTCAGATTTTCCCAATCATCCTTACCTACTGGCTCCTTTTTCTTTCAGTTTGTTTACTGATATATATTGATTCAACATACCATGTTTAATCAGAATCTTCTGGAATTGCATTTCTAAGAAAAAAACAACCCAAACGAATCCCCTAAAAACAAATGAACAAACAAAAAACCAAACAACACAAAAACTAAAACCAAACAAAACAAAAATAACCTAAACCAAACAAAATAAAAACAAACATAAACAGAACATAATACACAAAAACACCTCTAGGAATATTTCCCTTTC